CCTTGATGATACTGTTTTCGGTACTACAAGGTCGAACTTGATGTTACTCTTTTCAGTATTACCAGGTTGAACTTGATGTTAATGTTTTCAGCACTACTAGGTCGAACTTGATGTTACTGTTTCTGTCTAATAGGTCGATCTTGATCTTATTGTTTTAGGTACTACCAGTTCAAACTTGATGATAGTGTTTTCGGTACTACTAGGTCAAACGTGATAACACTGTTGTCGATACTACTAGATAGAACTTGATGTTACTGTTTTCTGTACTACTAGGTTGGTCTTGATCTTACTGTTTTCTATACTAATAGGTCAAACTTGATGATACTGTTTTCGGTACTACTAGGTAGATTTTAATGTTATTGTTTTTGGTACTACTAAGTCGAACTTGATGTCATTGTTGTCAATACTACTAGTTCGAACGTGAAGTAACTGTTGTCGGACTTTAATTCGAACTTGATGTTACTGTTTTCAGTACTACTAGGTCGAACTTGATGTTACTGTTTTCGTTACTACTAGGTCGATCTTGATGTTACCGTTTTCCATACTACAAAGTCGAGCTTGATGTTTCTGTTTTCAGTACTACTAGGTCGAACTTGATGAAACTGTTTTCGGAACTATTAGTTCGAACTTGATGACACTGTTGTCGGTACTAGTAGATAGAGTTTGATGTTACTGGTTTCGGTACTTCTAGGTCGATCTTGACGTTACTGTTTTCCGAACTACTAGGTCGATCTTCATATTACTGGTTTCGGTACTACCAGGTTGATATTGATGTTACTGTTTTCGGTACTACTAGGTTGAACTTGAAGTTACTGTTTTCGGTACTACTAGGTCAAACTTGATGACACTGTTTTCAATGCTACTTGATTGAACTTGATGTTACTGTTTTCGGTACTATTATGTCGATCTTGGTGACTGTTTTCTTTACTACTTGATCGAACTTGATGTTACTGTTTTCGTGACTACTAGGTCGAACTTGATGTTACTGTCTTCGGTACTACTGGGTCGGTCTTGATGTTACTGTTTTCCGTACTACTAGGTCGAACTTGATGACTGTTTTCTTTACTACATAGTTGAACTTGATGATACTGTTTTTGGTACTAATATGTTAATCTTGATATTACTCTTTTCTGTACTACTAGGTCAAACTTGATGATACTATTTTCTGTACTACTAGGTCAAATTTGATGATACTGTTTTTGGTACTACTATGTCATTCTTGATATTACTCTTTTCTGTACTACTAGGTTAAACTTGATGATACTATTTTCGATACTACTTAGTCGGACTTGATGTTGCTGTTTTCGGTACTACTATGTCGAACTTGATGATATTGTTTTCCGTACTACTAGGTTCAAATTGATTCTATTGTTTTCGGTAATACTATGTCGGTCTTGATACTACTGTTTTTGATACTACTAGGTCGGTCTTGATGTTACTGTTTTCGGTATTATTAGGTGGAATTTGATGTTACTGTTTTCGGTACTACTAGGTCGAAATTGATGACACTGTTTTCAATACTACTTGATCGAACTTGATGTTACTGTTTTCTGTACTACTAGGTTGGTCTTGATCTTACTGTTTTCTATACTAATAGGTCAAACTTGATGATACTGTTTTCGGTACTACTAGGTCGATATTGATGACACTGTTTTCAATACTACTTGATCGAACTTGATATTACTGTTTTCCGTACTATTAGGTCAAATGTAATGATACTGTTTTCGGTACTACTAGGTCAAAATTGATGACACTGCTTTCATAACTACTTGATCGAACTTGACGTTACTGTTTTCCGTACAATTAGGTCAAACTTGATGATACTGTTTTCGGTACTACTAGGTCGATATTGATGACACTGTTTACAATACTACTTCATCGAAATTGATATTACTGTTTTCGGTACTATTTAGGTCGAACTTGATGTTACTGTTTTCGGTACTACTAGGTCGATCTTGATGTTACTGTTTTCGTGACTACTAAGTCGAACTTGATACTACTGTTATCGGTACTATTAGGTTGGTCTTGATCTTACTGTTTTCTGTACTAATAGGTCAAACCTGATGATAATGTTTTCGGTACTACTAGATCGAAATTGATGACACTATTTTCATTACTACTTCATCGAACTTGATTTTGCTGTTTTCTGTACTATTTAGGTCGATCTTGATGTTACTGTTTTCCTTACTATTAGGTCAAACTTGATGATATTGTTTTCGGTAATACTAGGTCGATATTGATGACACTGTTTTCAATACTACTTGCTCGAACTTGATGTTACTGTTTTCCGTACTATTAGGTCAAACGTGATGATACTGTTTTCGGTACTACTAGGTCAACATTGATGACACTGTTTTCACTACTACTAGGTCAACACTGATGACACTGTTTTCACTACTACTTGATCGAATTTGATGTTAATGTTTTCGTGACTAGTAGGTCGAAATTGATGTTACTGTTTTCGGTACTATTATGTCGAGCTTCATGATAATGTTTTCAATACTACTACGTCAAACTTGATGATACTGTTTTTGGTACTACTATGTCAATCTTGATACTCTTCCGTACTACTAGGTCAAACTTGATGATACTATTTTCGATACTACTAAGTCCGACTTGATCTTGCTGTTTTCGGTACAACTATGTCTAACTTGATAATAATGTTTTCAATATTTTTACGTCAAACTTGATGATACTGTTTTTGGTACAACTATGTTGATCTTAATATTACTGTTTTCTGTACTAGTAGGTCAAACTTGATAATACTATTTTCGGTTTTACTATATCGAAGTTAATGAAACAGTTTTAAGTACTACTAAGTCGAACTTGATGATAGTGTTTTCGGTACTACTAGGTCGAACTTGATATTAGTGTTATCGGTATTATTACGTCAATCTTAATGTTATTGTTTTCCCTACTACTAGGTTGATCTTGATCTTCTTGTTTTCGGTGTACTAGGTCTAACTTGATGATACTGTTTTCGGTACTATTATTTTTAACTTGATGTTACTGCTTTCGGTATTACTAAATCGATCTTCATGTTACTGTTTTCTGTACTCTTAGGTCGAACTTGATGTTACTGTTTTCCGTACATCCAGTTCGAACTTGATGTTACTGTTTTCAGTACTACTAGGATCCAAATTGATTCGTTACTGTTTTTGGTAATACTAGGTCGGTCTTGATAGTACTGTTTTACGTACAATTAGGTCAAACTTGATGACACTGTTTTCAATGCTACTTGATCGAACTTGATGTTACTGTTTTCCGTACAACTAGTTTCAACTTGATGTTACTGTTTTCAGTACTACTAGTTCAAACTTGATGATACTGTTTCGGTACTACTAGGTCAAACTTGATGACATTATTTTCTGTACTACTAGGTCAAATTTGATAATAAAATTTTCTGTACCATTACGACGATCTTGATGTTACTGTTTTCGGTACTACTAGGTCGAAATTGATGACACTGTTTTCCGTACTACTAGGTCGAACTTGATGTTACTACTTTCGGAACTACTAGGTCGATCTTGATGTTCCTGTTTTCCTTTCTAGTACTTCGACGTTGATGACACTGTTTTCAGTACTACTAGGACGAAATTGATCTTACTGTTTTCGATAGTATTAGGTATATCTTGATGTTACTGTTTTGGTACTACAAGGTCAAACTTGATGATACTGTTTTGGTAATACTAGGTTAAAATTTGATGATACTATTTTCGATACTACTTAGTCGGACTTGATGTTACTGTTTTCGGTCCTACTATGTCGAACTTGATGATATTGTTTTCAATACTACTACGTCAAACTTGAAGATACTGTTTTCGGTAATACTATGTCTATTTTGATGCTATTGTTTTTTTATACTATTAGGTCGATCTTGATGTTACTGTTTTCCGTACTACTATGTTGAACTTGACGTTACTGTTTTTGGTACTACTTGGTCGATCTTGATGTTACTGTTGTCGGTACTACTAGGTCAAACTTGATGTTACTGTTTTCTGTACTACTAGGTCAAACTTGATGATACTATTTTCGATACTACTTAGTCGAACTTCATTTTTCTGTTATCGGTACTACTATGTCGATCTTGATATTACTGTTTTCTGTACAACTATGTCGAACTTAATGATAATGTTTTCGGTACTGCTTTATCGATCTTTATGATACTGTTTTAAGTATCCAGATCGAGTTTATTGATACTGTTTTCGGTACTTTATTAATTAATTTATTTATTAACTAATTTTATTCCGTATTCCTTTTTGAGATTGATTGTTAATTTTATAATAATGAAAGCTGAATTCAAGTGCTTCATGAAAACACTTTTTTTTGGGCATATTCTGTGTTACTTTAGTAAAGTCAAATTTTTAATGGGAAGGGATGTAGTTTCATATAACTGTGAGTAACTAGACAATGAAGCATTTTGTACACATTGATACTTTCATGATCTATCTTTTATTTTATAGTATGTTAATGTTGACTTTCAATTCAGAAGAAATGATTTAGTTTAAAGAGTACACTGACGACGACTTAGAAAAATCAAAAATGCCGTTGCTCGCTGAACTGGAATAAGTTGTTTTGATTATTTATTTTGTTTAAATAAAAGAGTCTAAACCTATATGATTTATATCCTATTTCATTTTATTGAATTTTTATATTTTGTTTATTCTTGACAGTTCACTTTGTTGTTTATTCAAGCAAAGTTACACAAGAGTATATGCACTCGTGTCCCTAAATTTGAGCTTATACTGGAGGGAAGTCAATTAATCAACAGCATTCATCGATTTCTCTTGGGCTACAGTAATCAAATAGTGGAATTTGACCATCATTCTTATATCGCACCCATGAATGACAGTTTTGTCATATTAGAATATCTTATTTCTTAATTGTTATGGAAATAGATTTGATTATTGCCAAAAAATTATCAAAAGAAAAATGGTGGAAACAAAAGAACTTAATAAAATATTGTAGAAATTGTTACAAAATCTAAAAATGTATCTTACATCTTCTGTTTCCATAATGTTACAACACTGTCCAATTGAAGTCACTGCCTGGTTCGAGTTTATTCTCAAAGTCTCCTCTGTAGAGGGTATGGAATATGATACACAGTAGCCTCGACAAGCATTCGTAGTAATATCAAACTCCATGCAGTCAGGAATACTGATATGACGAGTGTGGCCTGAAAAAAACAAAAACAATTAACTTAAGGCCTAACATGATTGTAAGTATTTTTATAACTATTTCTCTTTTTGGACATCAGCCGCCACTAGGCAGTTGGTTTAGGTCTAAGAAGCACACCCACCTATCTACACTGTATTTGTATTTCTGTACAACATTTTTCACTAAACAGTTCATGCTAACCAGGTGGTTATGATTCATCTAGTTTTATTTCTCTACATCGTTTATCAGTAGACAGTTTAGGATGCTACAAAGTATCGCACATTTATAATAAAAGTAAAGAGTAAGATGTTAACGACAAAAATAATATAAATGAGCAGATACCCACCAAGTCTTTAGTATATAAAGGAAGCATTGGCTATATATTGTTCTTTCCCTCAGCGCAATGCTTACAATTTCTTTATATCTACAGATGGCTAAATAATAAATAGTTATGACGCATGGATTTACAACCTCTCAGGTTTTTAAAACTGGTATTACAAAGTATAGTATACAAATTAACATGACAAACAACGATACTTGCGTAAACTATTTATACTTTAGAATTATTTTTTACCAGTACGCGTTTCTTATGGTAGTCCAGCCAATATCTTAAAATACTCTCAGCTTAACTACATATTTACAGACCTATGAGCACTTCCTTCAATAATTCCTGTTTGTAAATGAGTTCTTTAAAATGGTGAAATAAGAGTACACCGTAAATATTGAATATCACACAAGTTTCGAACATAAATTCTAATCTGCTTCAACTGAGCACACTAACAGAGACGCAACTTTAAGTTTAAGATCGTAGATCCAGTAATAATGTTTGTTTTTCTACGGCTCTTCAACGAATGGAGAAATGTAAGGGAATGACGACTCCATCTATTATTTTAGTCATGCGGTTGAAGCACATCGTCGTTACTTTCAAGAAGAAGACAGAAGGTAAACGGAGTAATATGATGAATATATTTTCATGTTTTCAATAACAGCAACTTCTTATTTTGGAAACATACGGTTGACGTCATTAAAATTTTGTTATTATTGAAAAATTAAGACCAAGTAGTACAACATTAAAATATAGTGCATACACGGCTTTTCAAATTACCCGAAACATTTTATCTAAGTGAAATTAAATAGGCACACTACAACATTTGTTTGATGGTCTGAATTTAAATATTTTTTTTCAAAGTCAGTGATATTTTAAATTAAAATCCAGTTGGTCGCTAATATTCCGAAATAAAATGTAACGAGATTTCGGTTTATATAATATTCATATAAGTTATAAATTTGAAGTGAAAGTTTAAAGCGTTTAAAAGTAGTACATAGTTGTTAATATAAACAGAAGATGATGATTATGTCGTAATTATTTCATAAAAATTAAATACACAAACTAAATGTAATCTCATGCGGCGTTTATTTCACTTTGCTTACACAGTTATAGCCTGTGGAAATAGAAAACAGAGCAAACACAACAAATTCCCTTATTTTTATATTTGTGCTTCTTCATCAGCGTGATAAGTGGCTGATCTTTATTCTGTAGTACTACATGTTTTTGAAAGCTTCTTTTGCTCGCATTACGATAATTAAGATAATGTTAAATACACTCATCAAACCTGTACCTATTTCCGTAGAAGAAAATTAGTGAGCTAACTTTTTCAAACTTAAAAGAGAAACAAATGTAGTATATTATTACTTCAAACAAAAAATATACGCACATATGTATATACATTATTTATTTATACTGAAGTTAAAATTTTCTATCTGAATGATACCTTAAGCACACATGGACTAAACGAACAGCTTAGAGACTCCTAAGATTCAGGTTTATTAGTTCTTAATTTTGAGCTACTAGCCAGAGAGAAGACGCTACAAGGACTTTGTTGCCCCACAGTGACACAGCGGTATGTTTACGGACTTACAACGCTAGAAACTGGGTTTCGATACCCGTGGTGAGATGTTCACAGATCGGCCATTATGTAGCTTTGTGCTTAACTACAAGCAAACAACGAAAGGACCTTGTTCGGCTCTTTGAAACGAATAACGGAAATGACTGCTATTTTTATAACACACCTATACTGAAAGTATGGAATATGTCAAAGACATTACGTCTCGAACCCTGAGCCCTTCGACCTGCGACTCGACACACCAACTGCTAGACTACTCATGACCGCATATATGACAAAGGAATATATTACTTCGAAAAACTTTTTTCTGTATTTCATTCCAGAAACTACTTTTGTATATTGTTTTTGTATTAGTTATTTCTCTGCTCTCTTCAACTGTACAAAGTGTGTCGTGAATGACAAAAAAGAGCACACATTAAGTTAGAAAAGTCGTAAAAGAAAAAAGGTAGAACATGTTATGCTAGGAAGGTTACTATAAAAAGTGATTGATAATAAAAAATAGAATATTAAAGAAAAAAGTAACAAGTAATAAATTAAAAAGGTCAACATTCGCTGGCGAATGCAACACGTCTCCGCTATACAATCTCAACATGGTCAATTTTGACACCATAAAAATTGGAAACTGTATATATTGAGAAGTTATCTTTGTATCATCTACCATGTAAGTTGGTAGACATACATATAAATAGCTCATGGAAATCCCAAATTGTACTTTCCTCGCTGTAAAATTGAGCAAAAGACAAAAATTCCACAATTGTCTATACCTACATTTGGGAACTGTAAAAAGAGTATCTTTGTACCAAACCCATGTAAATTGGTTGAAACAAGGCTTTGTAATTGACCAAAACCCCTAAAATGATGGGTTTATTAACCTTTTAACACCTCTTAAAATGACCAAAAATTGGCATATCCCACATTTTTGTATATATAGATGTACGAGATCTGTATAAAAGTATCTTTGTACCAAATCCCATGTAACTTGGCCGAACTACGATAAATTAATTAATAAAAAACCCTAAAATTATGCTTTTTGTGGGAACCATAATTACTAAAAATGGGCAATGTTTGTTAATGAGTGGGATCTGTAGAAAAATATCTTTATACCAAATCCCATGAAAGTTGGTCAAAATATGGCTGAGTAATTACCAAATCCCCAAAAATTATGCTTTTTGTGACCTCTGCCCCCTCCCCCCCAAAAAAAAGACTCAAAAGGGCAAATCTAACTTTTTGTAGTCAATGTGTGCAGCTCATAAAAATTTATATTTGTGCCAATTTTCATCTTTATTGGTGTAAGTATGACCGCCCAGGAGCCTAAAATATACATTTTTTTAGATATTTAACTTCTGACCCATATAAATTCTTAAAACAACTTAAAGGAAAAAAATTGAAAAAGGTGTTGGGGCGTATTAGATTGATTATAACCCTACCAAGTTTCAAGTCAACCTGCCGAGAAATGAAGGAATAACGATCGATTGAAAAGCGTTTGAAAGATGAAGAAAGAAAGAAAAACGAAAAAGAAACAATAGAAAAACAGCATGTCTCTCAGAGACAGGAAAAGAAAAATTGAAAAGTATACGCTGAAATGACAGGACTATTAAAATTAGAATTACGAGATCTTAGTTTTATTTTTCTGTTTATAATTTTTAATCAATAGAAGAACGCGAACAAACTTTTTTAAACACATCTGATTTTGAGCTGCAATGGACAAATGAAGAGGACAATCGGAAAAACATCTGCAGTTAATTTGATTTTTGAAAAAAATATATTCCTGTTGGTTTCCAATAGTTCATAACTTTAAATTGTTATGATGCATATATAAATAGAGTTTTATAAAATATTTTGTCTCTCATTGTCCAGCCCAACTAATGAGTTCTGGTATTTAACGAAGAACTTCTTTGGCAGCGAATTGTGTGAGACAAAAGATAGATCTGAAATGTTTTTTATTACACACCTGATTTTGAACTGCAATGGACAAATTAAAAGGAATGTGGTAAACAACACGTATGCAGTTAACTTCATTTTTATAAGAATATGGAACTGTTTTAACGAACAGTACAAGCAACTATCATTAGAGAGAACGTGTATTTTCTTCTTTAATAGACGGAAGTGAACGACATATTTCACTGGTCGTACAGAGACGTTGTATTTTTAACACTGACTTCTGATGCTATTAATACGAGTTTGTTAAAATAACACGTATGTTTTTGATCTTTCACTTTCCAGTAAATGAGTTACTCAAATTCAAGAGTTGGTCTTTAAGATTCAGGAAATTCTTTAAAAGTGTATTTTGATTATGAGTTTAATATTAGATGTACAGGTTAAGAGTGGTTTAGTTTTAGGCAAAATACTTGCATTATTTGAAAGGTAAGAAACGGTTTGACTGGGAGCATAAAAGGTGGTTTTCTTTGTAAGGAAAAACTCGGCTGATAATGTGTTTCTTTTAATTTTGAAGTTTTTTAATGCAAATATAAGACAACTACAGTCAAACAAAGTAAAGTACCATAATTGACTAAGTAGGGATTTTATTTGTAGATAAAGGTGTTTTTATATGTTAAGACACAAGTTTACTTACCTGAGTTTTTCTTGTTTGCTGTTAAGCGCAAAGTTACGCAGTGAGCTAACGGTGCTGTATTCATACCAAAACCCGAATTTTACCGTTACAAGCCCTCAGGCTTACCGCAAAGTGAGCGTTGGGGGATTTATCTAAGTGTACCAAACTTATCGACGTATGTTCACGTACATGTCGAAAACTATATTTAGATAGGTAAGTCTACGTAAATTATTATCTCTAGATCAAACATGGAAAAATTCAATTTTTTAAACATTCCACTGTTTTTACAAACATTATGAATTCTTTTTGTGGTACATAATATCTTATATGTGCATCAGAAACTCTACAACACAAAAACGTAGGGTTACAACTATGCATGTAAATACAATCGTTAAATTAACTACATATATATTACCTTTTTGATGTAAAATCAACTTATTCTAAAACAACGTGCTTGAATTGATATTTCAACTCATTCTAGAACACTAGTCTTGAACATATTGTATCAGGGATGCTAGAGAGGGTAGAGTATATTATACTAAAACGACTTTGAATATGCAAGTCATCAAGTCATGTGACAACTATAACCAATATTAAGTCACCGTGGGACTATTTAACAACTTTTGGGCTGCTCTTCTTAGATCAAATAGTGTAGTTTGACCGTCACTCCTATAACGCACCACAAAACAACCCTAAGATGCAAAGCTCGTTTTTATTTGGGGGCGGTAACGGGGCGTAAACTACAGTTCGGCATGCTAACCACTGGGTCACGCTCAAACAGAGAAGGGTATGCAACAGCCCTTTCCGACACAAAGTATTCATACACTAAGATCATAAAAGTGTGTTCATATCAAGGATTTAGAATTTCTAAGACGAAGATATCCCACATACTTGATGGTCTTGAAAAACAAAAGAATATAGGGAACCAGAAACGCCCAGAAAGAGATTTACAAGAAATCCTACTCCATCAGTGGTGGGCAAAGTGTGACGTCTTGTAACAGGCGAAAATCCACGAACACTAAGGTTAGTGGTAAAGCCATTCACATGTTTCAGGCAACACGAACACTAAGGTTAGTGGTAAAGCCATTCACATGTTTCAGGCAACAGTACGCACCACAGTCAATTAGCGATATAGATCAAGTGTTTATAAGTTGTTTCCATATCATCCCCCTTCAAAGGAAAATGGTATTGATATTTTCCATAAGAATAAATACTGGTCAAGCCGATGAATTTCTATCTGATTGGAATATTGAAAGAGGCGATGGAAAACAGTTGTCTTCATACACTAAATAGCTTAAGCAAATCACGCAAAAAGTGGTGGTGTGATTCTGACATGACAGCCTTATGAAGGAATCCCTTGCAATAGAAACTATGCTTTAGGGCTATTGTGTGGGGATACACGACCTTCATATAGAACATGACCGAACGTGGCGACATGGACAGTATCGGGCTTCAAATTCGTTATAATATACGTACGTAACCTTTGTAATTCTACAAATTCTATGCCAAATCACTATTAAATTTTACACCAGTTTATTACTAACAAGTCGTATACGGATTGGTATATTAACTGAGAATACTTCTTCAACTTACTCTGCAGTTTATTAGATCTGTAGAGTTAGTTATACAGCTACTATAACACACAATCATTAGAATGTTAGTTCAACCTATTGTATAAAACATTAAACCTGAAATGTTAGTTCTGCATATTATATAATACATTAAACCTGAAATGCTAGTTCTGTGTATTCTATAACAATATTTTATAGAATGGTAGTTGAACCCTTGCTATAATAAACCATGACTAGCATGTTAGTTTAACTAATTTGATATTATATCACCCGTGAAATGCTGTTTAACTCATTTTAAAACACATCATGGCAGGAATGTAAATTCAAGTAATTCTATAGCATATTACGTATCTGCTTGTTTGATAATTTCCCTTAGAAATTCTCTCCGAGAAACTTCAGCGATACAAGTCCTTTCTTAATTAAAATTATTTTATTCTTTCTCGTTACAAACTTTGTAATACACTTAATTT